ACAGATACTGTTCTGCTTGCTAGCAGAGCATGAGAAATACCTCCGGGGGCTGATAAGTACGCCAGGGCTACGGATGCTGAAGCCAGGAGGGTCACAGGTTGCTCAGCTCCTTGGAGATAATGCAGGGAACCCCGGAGGAGCCCCCAAAAAAAGGCCAAGGAGCCATGGACGGAGCTGTCCTCCCATCCCACCCAGCCCTCCGCACACCCGGTATTTTGGCCAAACCACCGCTGTGAGGCTCATGGCCCACAGAGCCGTAGCAAACCAGCTTTCCTTTGGCCTGCCACCCACCGACCCTCGCCACGAAGCCGCGGCAGGACCCTCCCTAACAACCAAAAACCCCCTTGGAAGCCGCTCAACAGTGGCAGGAGAGGTACAAGTGGTTCGAGCGGCGACTGCTGAAGTCAAGGGGTGAGCTCCCGGGCGGATCGGTTTTGCAGGAGGAAAAAGGCAGCAAAATCTCCCCTGGAGAATCCGCAGGCTGAAGCAGTACGGCTGTGCGATAGGCTCCACTGGCCAAAACCACCTCTGGGTCCTCCCGTCGATGAGGGCTCCCTCGTTACATGGCAAGATAAGAGGCTGCGATGCTGAACTCGCAAACCAAACAGCCAGGAGCTCTGACCTGAGGGTCTGGTTGCTCTCAGCAAACCACCAAAGTGTTCAGTGCCTTTAAAAAGCGCCTGCGTTCCCTGGAAGCAAGCAGGGAGGGAGCTCTGCCCTCCCTGGAAGCACGGCCTTGGCCGGGCTGGGGCCGGGGGACCGCAGCATCACATGCAGGATCGTGTCCCAGCATCTCAGAGGTCGGTCGCCCTCAGCGACCTCAAGGCTCCCAGCCGACCGCAATCCCATTTTGTAGGAATCCTCGGTCGAATCAGCTTAATTAAAAAAATTTAAAAAATAAAAAGGGGAAGAGAAAAGCTGGAGCAGGTCCAGGCTCTGCCCCCAGGGAGGCGCAGGATCAGGCGGAGGCGCAGACCCCGGCCATTCCCACTCCATCCCCGTCTGCGGACGCCCTTGCCGGCCCTGCCCTGCCTCCTTCCAGCAAGCTGAGAGGCTTCAAGCAGAGGAGGGAATATAAAATCCCCGGTGCTCGCATCAGCATCTCCACCGAATTAGTGCTGGAGGGGCTTACGGTGTCTTGGGCACAAAGTACTGGGTCTGCAGCAGCGAAAGATCCGGGATTAACCTGGTGCCTCGTTTTTGGACAGAATCGGGTCCGGCGAAGAGCAACTCCCACTGAGCACAGCGCGCGTTGGACGGCAGCGATTCCCCAATGCGGCTCCTGGCCAGGGAGTGCAGGAAATCGCGGGGCTCTGGGCACGAAAATGGCATCTTCATAGAATCATAGAATCCCAGAATGGTTTGGGTGGGAAGGGACCCCCAGAGGTCACCCAGCCCAACCCCCCTGCAGGAGCAGGGACACCTTGAACCACATCAGGTTGCTCACAGCCCCGGCCAACCTGGCCTGGAATGGTCCCAGGGATGGGGTCTCCACCCCCTCTCGGGGCAACCCCTGCCAGGGTTTCACCACCCTCACTGGAAAGAATTTCTTCCTTAGATCCAGTCTAACCCTCCCCTGCTTCAGTTTAAAGCCATCCCCCCTTGTCCTGTCCCAGCTGGCCCT